TTATTTTGGCAAATACTTTGCCTCTTCGTGTATAACCTACAAATGTATCAGGTAGCCTGCTCCTTGAGTGCTCACATACGGGGCACGTGGTAACTAAAAAGACTGCGTCCCATCGTACTGTCTCGGGGCTTCTAGCAGAAGTGGACCTCGTAGTATTTGCTCTTGCTGTATTGTCAAGATTACGCGTCCATCTATATTGCCGCTGTGTAAATAAGCTAGAGAAATTCTCGGACAGCAAATGAAACAGTTGAGGCAGAATTTTTCCGCAGAGCGGCAGGCGGCTTCAGCAACTGAATAGCCACCGCTCAATTTATCATCGGAGACGTAGAAAGCGTATGACGTACTGCAAGCTCACGTACAAATACAACCATGCCGAATGTGGTTGCCGCCGCGCTATTTCGTGGCGTGCAGCATGCTACTACGTAGAGTAATACATGAAAAATTGTTCGACTCAGAACAAAGTAAAGATTTACCGTGGCGATTCTCAAATAGCCTCGTCCTTTAACATGTCAAAGTCTACGAGCACGCCTTAACCAAAGAGTGAAATTGCCGTTGAAAGCTGATGGTCACTCCAAACAAGCTTCAATGTGTGTGACATCCTCGGGACAAAAGATAATATCTTTGTTGGTCTGTAGGTTCTTCGACGTCGAAGGCAAGCAATGTCACATTTATTTGGTCAACAATCGACCTCTCGATTCGGTCTGTGCACGCTAGGCCTGTTTCTCGCAGGTAACCGCGTCTATCCAGTGGACGGGTTTCGACCAAGTAAAACAAGAAGGGCGCTCGCATGGCTTTCATCCATTCGGAGACTAATAGTAGTCTACTGTCGGTCCAATAAATTTTTTCGCAGGTTCAATCAAGCCTCAGAGCAGATACTTCGGCCCGGCCCGAACCAACTTCCATACAGCTTACAATGGCATTCGGTTCAACACGATATCTAACCGTAAAGTTTTCCTCGATAAAGTACATTTTTATCTTAGGCTCACGATGAGCGATTATCGTCCATTCTCGAAACTTCGCATCACTGTGGAACCTAGCTATAAAACATTGCTAGTTTAATAGCTAGTTGAGCTAGTTGCAATATGCTGGCAGTTCAACCCCATAAACAAGCAGGATTTTTCGTTTCGTCCAAGTCAGAAGAAGAACTTCGTATATATGACGAATCAACTGACTACAGGTTCACGGCACACGCGTCCATATCGACGCATTCCATCGTATTATGAGGAGACGTCATACTATCGGCTTGTAAGATAATCTTCCAAAATCCATAGGGACATATGCGTATGCGAATCCTTATAGCGCAATTGTTCCAGGTAATTGTTCCACTTTCTGAAACATTAATCGATGCCTAAACAGACGTCGATGTGAAACCTCCCCTATATAGTTTCATCGAGGTCTGTATTCATTTTCACGTAAATACTGATTAGGACGACACACCGTTACCATCTTACTTTCAAGATTTACGTGGACCATTTTCATTTCGCTAACTTTGCCTGGAGCTCCGTAGTCGCACCTAATTAATTGGAATTTTGGAACTTTCTAAAAGGCAAGCGTGATCAATCCTCTTTTTACCGATTACATTACCATAGGTCTGGTTACTCTTAGAGTTGTGGGCTTTTTCAGTGTTCAGTGCACGTATTCAGGTTGACGCAGGATTCGCTAGAATCGGAAACTTTCGCAGCCAGCTATTTTTTTTTTGCATCGCTTACCTGATCGCGACCCGCAGTCCCAATCTTTGACAGCAGATACAAGGTGAGAGTATTTGTTGCGCAGAGGAAAAGAACAAAGTGAAAAATTTGTCATGCAGCGGAATGTCTCGAAATTTTCTTTAGACTTACCCTATTTCGTACCTACGAAAGTTCCTATTTCAAAGCATTCGACAGTTTCGATAATTTTAGGCCAAGGACAGATGCTAGATCTAGCGCGTTAGTTTTATATGCGTCTTTTATTGCATACATCTTTTGTTACCTATCGAATACGTTATCAATTTATTACAGGAAGGTTTTCTGACTAACACATGATGCGTATGTGCAAACGGCGGATCGAAAGTAGTGCCCTTCCGAATTCCGCATTCTGCTGCGGTCTGCGAGCTGACTTAGGCAGCTCAACAACAACTTGGACAAAAGATTCCTGTTATTTCTGTGAATTCAATCATCATAGACTTCTCAAGCGACGTCGTTTTGGGGACAATTTTCAGACAGTAGGATGTTTGCGTCCCGAACACGAGAGTCTGTTGAGGAAGGACCAGAATAATAGACTTATAAAATGGCATAGCAAGCATGAAAGCAGCTATTAACCTTAGTAATACTACCTTATGTTTTGTTTTTCCCTTATTTCTTATTTTTCGGATTGTTAATGTTTGGTAACAGTTTTGCCGCCGCTAAGTTCTGAACCAATGGGGACAACATGCAAACTGGCTACGGTTGCCGTGGAAACGTACCTAAAAGTGCGCAGCAGCCACGTAGACTATGCTGCCCTTACAACTACACGTATGTGCAACACATATTCGTTGATATGAGTGGCGGTAATAAACTTCGTTCGGCAAAAGTCTTCTCGGGTTCCGAACCGTGCAATCCTAGCTAGCACGACAAACGAGAAGTGCCTTAATACGCAGCATCGTCTCATTACTTGAGCAGTAGCACCGACTTGGTGTATTCTGCATCCCAATAGGGCTTTGTTATGGTCATTTGATGCACTTAAGAACAGAGCAATCGCAAAATCCCTAATCACGGATTTCCGTTAGGCCATGTTCGTTATCAAAAATTAGTACCAATATGATACATACAATCGGTACTCATTTTACGTTACACTAGACAATACTGTAGGTCTGTTCTGATTAAACTAACTGATTGCTTGATTGATATTCCGATCAGCTTAACGTAAATAGGTAATCATCGGCAACTACCCCAGTGCAATTATTTCGCCCCTTTTTGTCCTTTTACAACTATCGCGTCACGTTGTTTTAACATCAACGATTTTCATTCGCGCTATATCTACTCGAATATTAACTATGGTTTAGCGGCAAATCTGCAACACTGCGGGAACCCTAATGGAAGAAATGATGCTATTTCGCTCAACGCCTTAGCGACCTTTGTCCTGTCGCATTTGCCTTGTCTGAGGACAAGATAAATGGTGTCTCGTTCTTTTTCATTGCAGTATTCCACCAGCCCAACATCGCTGTTACCCCACTAATCGCTTATAATATTTAATCAAATGTTACACCGAATTCCTAATATAAATTAGTATTCAATTGCAAACTGACATCTTCAGACGCGTCCGGTGGCAATTTTTCTGAGACGTTAAATTTGTTATCCAGCTGGTAATTATAACAACTATATCTCCTTGATTTTTTCAGTAACTCGATAATTTTGGTGTCGTTATGGTTTACCCTAGTAGGATCACCCAAATGGCCCGCTAGCCTCGTTACTTAGTCGCAATCAGTGCGTTCGTTGATGTGCTGTATCTGTCCTGCTGGGCGATTAAGTAACTGAGCTCGACCTGAAATGTTTTTGTACAAGCCCGTAGAAAGTTCGTCCAGTTTGCACGTAAAACCAGCCTCCGGCCGTCCGCATGATGCGGGACCTGAGCGAGGACAGACTCCGAGCTCTTTCTCTAAGTTATTCCCGTTCTCTTTACCACCAGGAAAAATACATGATTCTGATCGACTATGAACTAGTTTGCAAATTGTCTAAATCAGCTTCGTCGAGGCTACAGGAAAAAGAAGTCACGTACTAGGGAAAAGGTATTCGCACAGTGAGATAATTATTTTGTAAAATAATAATTTTATTATTGTAAAAATCATAATTTCAACGCTGAGTAGTGAAGATACGAAAAATCGAATATTACACCCTAAATTCATAGTTGTGCTGCTTTTTTTTGGGCGAGGGGGGAGAGTAAGAACAAAACATGTTTTTAATATAGCCTTAGTACAATTTTTCAACGGTTGTTGGGCATATTACAAGAAAAATGATCGAGTTCTCCAAATGAACATTCCAAATAGGGGAAAAACTTTCTCATTTGTATCTGATAGCCCAAAATATCTGTATAATTAGTCATGGGCATAGCTCGTCTGTTACACCAACACACTTTTTTAATATCTAGATGATAACAGCCTTTATAACGGGTTGCGGTTTTTGCACCAACAATATTGCAATAAAATTATTACTGCACTACAAGGCAAAGTGTTAATTAACTTATTAATAAAATGCATTTAGAACTAAAATTAAATGACAAACGAGTAACGAAGCTCCATGTAGAAACTGTTCAATCGAAGCCCCTCCAAAAACTGACATTCATTGCCATATATTCGAAAAGCAGCAGTCACCTTCAATTTGGGGGAACTACGAGAAGTGCGGACGCTGATCATGACTTAACGCTAGACTCTTGTGCATGTTTTGTTGATTTCTATGCTGAATTCGTATACTGTCCATTCACTGTGAAAATTGCTCCGTAAAACAGCCTGGTGTGAGGCTACTGTCAATCAGTTTAGAAGAGTAAGAGCGTATAATAGTGATAAGCTATGACTGACTAGGTTGGTATTAAATGGAGTCGATAGTTCATACAGAGGGAACACCTGCCCACGCTCTATCAGCTATTGGCTAGATACCGAGAAGTTTTTTCTTTCGAGAAGAGAAAAAAAGAAACTAATATTTCTCCCCCTTATAATTCTATGAGAAAATTTCAAAGCATGTGCTATTCCTAATAAAAAAGAACGGCTTTATCAGGCGTCTTAAGATGATTTGAGGGAATAGCCTTCACCGTTTGAACAGTTGAAAAGTGTTTTCGATAAGTCTCCCATGTTTGGTATTATTTCAAGCATGAGCATTTTTCAAAAAAAATAATATACATACTGCCAAAAATGGTCAAGATACGATGAATAGCTGCATCTGACTTCAGCTGGCTCTCAACTGATTTTTTCAATTTTGGCGCGTCAACTGGTGACCGGCAGTAGCGAATTTCGAGCACTGGATTGTTTTTGAGTTCAATTGATTAAAATGGAACTTATTGTTCTATAAGTTGCCTATAATCGAATCTTAGAATAGTGTGCACTGAATGGGATTATATCGATTTTGTGTGAGTACGGTTGCCACAGCTATGGCTGTTACAATTACTATTAATACGATAAGTACAATTGGATCATTGCGTTAATGTCCTATTGGTTAGTATTTTAAATCGTTTTTTATTGACTGTCGTCTTGTGGTTTGCTAATGTTACTCGAATAGAACGTTTGTGTTATTTGTTATTATTTGTACTAGCAGATAAAAAAAAAAGTCTATACTCGATAGCAATGGCTATTATTAAATTCTCATGTATACACATAGATTGTGGTGCAGTGTGTATCATTATGTATGTACATACATACATACACGTTACGCTAGGGGAACAACAAGTGCTCCTTTATCAAAGCTTCTTTTCATGAAATTATTTTTATGAAATATTCTATAAAAATATTAACCAACTTCATTACTGTCTTCTAAACACTCGTTTAACAACTATGGTACAACAGCCAAAGTATGCCATAGTATTTTTGTATTTATTTTGGGTATTTTACGGCCGAAGCACTTACTGAATCTAAAGATCGCACTGCTCATTTAAGTGGTAAATATCAATCAAAGTTAGAGTCGGTTGAAACTAACGTTAGAGACTTCTTATGCGTAGACAATAGGAAAAACTCCCGGTATAATACAAAAATGAATCATTTTTTTGTCGAAGCCGTTCTGCTTATCAATATGGTTCCCTTATAAATTTATACACCTACTTTCTACTTTCATCTCGTTAATTGGTCCAGGTAACGGTTGGCATCATACGTTTACGAATGTAGTGACTTCCTCACTTGATGAAAATCTCTGTCCTCCAAATAAAACCATGACCTTAGGAAAGGAAAGGAGTCCCTGGAAGCCGCATCTGATGAATACGGTGGGTAATCAATCAACTACTTCAATTCGGAAAGATAACAGCCGTTGAAATATGGAACTATTAAATGAAATTTTGTACTTTGGCGTCTTTAAACAAAGCCTTGGTGATTAACGGAATGCATGAATATGACTTTATTTCAAAGGGCCCTTAGGACGTTTCTATCGGTAACACTTGAGAGCCCCTTCGAATCCATGTTTAATGCGTGGTACTGTTACCCTTTCAGATAAATAAACTCACTTCAACTGAATCATTTTGTTCCTACTTCTGATTCCATTACGTTTACTGTTCATTCTATTTCAAGCCCTTTTTTCATGTGTTCTTCGGAGATGTATTGGAAAGTTGCCTGCGTGAGTGACCATATCCGAAGACTATGGGTCATTTATTTCGAATGGCATGTTCTTCCATTCCGTCATCTTGGCTATCCGAAATAAGGACCAGCTGTGAGATGTTGGCCCCCATGGTTCCGCCGGGATCGCTTAACCGATGAGGCATCCATTTTCGATATTGCCATTGCGTGAGTAGGGTATAGAGTTGTGCCTGTCGTAAACATCGGTACCGAAACCGGATCTGCCGGAAAATCGCAGCCTACATGCTGGTAACAGTCATCTCCCAGTTCATTGGGACAGAAGCAGGAACAACGTATGATTGGAGGCGAACTGACGCACAGGTGCGGACACGGTCGACCACGAGGTTGTTTTGAGGCATAGAGCATTGAATTTGTACCTTCGAGTGGAAGTGAGTGTTTGCCATTGCGGCTTATGGCAAATAGAGTACCGGCTTGATCTCCAAGCACTGCGAAGTCGATGAACATATCTGCGAGAGAAAGCGATTTCTAATTGGTATTTGTTGTATCTTCCGAATGATAATGCTATTGTCCTTAACGTCGAACGCAAGCGACATCCACGAAGACTCGACGCAAATGATTTCCATCGAGTCCAGCCCTCTAGACTTGCTGCTTGTGCATGAACAGCATCCATCCATTTAAGTTGCTTATGGTGTCGTTGAAAGAGAGAAGCATCTGAACGTGTTTGTCATTTAGCTTTGATACCATTACACCAGCTGTATCCGTCCAGTAAATCATTTCGTAAAGCCGGTCAATTTGTGCCATAGATATTTGCCCACGGTTAGAAATTATTTCAACGCATATTCCATTATTTAGATCAACATAGTGTACAGCTGTATAGTTTTCATTATATTACTATCGAAGCTGAAACTTCACGTTGAATAGGTAGGTAAACAAAGTCAACGCTATCTTTGGTGAGGTTCAATTTTGCTAGGTAAACCTTATGACAGGGCACGCGGAAGGGGAGGGAATACCAGAAAACGCAAAAACAAATGTAATAATAGGAGTAATAAATAAAGAGGAATAAAGGCTTGGAATAATATGTATTCATATTATCGACTTGGAAGAATATGTAGTGGTGGTCACTACCATTTTCTTCTTCGTTCAAGATTCTCCATCCTGCTGTAAAGGCTGCTGCTTCGTTGTTTACTAATGTGATGTCTATGTATGATGGGTAACCACTGTGTTCACAAGTAGGAGCCTCTCCATCATTAAGCACCGCCAGTCCCTCTGCTGCCAACCGCTCTAGGGTCGTTAGTCCTCTTCTGTCGTTACTTCTGCTGCCCCATATTACATTCTTTGAGTTAAAATATCCTGTGACAATAATCTTTTTCCTATTATCATGTCGTTTTACACTTTGTCCTAGTTCTCCAAGGAATTTTTTAAATTCTTCTATTGATCTATTGGGCGAAAAGTAACATGTGCAGAATACTGCTACGTTTTCGATCTCCGCCCATATGAAACCATTTCCTGTTCCTTTTCTTCGTATTACTACGTTCCTCACGCGGTTCCAGTATATAGCAGTATCCTTTTTATCGTCCGTCACTCCAATTTCTTTAGCACTGGCTATTCTTTTGTAGTTCAGTTCTGATAATAGACAAAGGTGTATGCCGTATTTCTGGATTGTGATTTCCAGTAAGTCATGGGCAGCAGACGAGCGATTGAGGTTGATCTGTATTAGTCTGAACTCTATTTTGCTAATATTCTTCTATTCCTCTCTTTGCTGTTTGCTTTTGTACCCTTAGTTCTTCAGTGGGCCGTTTAGCAGTCTTCTTTGCTGATGGTGTTATAAAATTTTCCTCGTCTGTCGTTGGTCTTTTTGTCCTCTTTTCCCTCTTTTTTGTTCCTTCTTCTCTTTCTTTCGCTACATTTTATTGTTCTCTCTTGTCTTTATCTCTTCTTCTCCTGTGGAGAAAGGGGGACAGGGTTTTGTTGCTATCTTAATGTTGAGCTTTCGTTTGACCTGGTCCACTAGAGTTCGATACCTAGGGCACAACATTGATGTAGCTCTGTGGCCCTCCATATCGCATTCGTAGCAAAAGGGAATCACTCTTTCGCACTTATTTGCCGTATGTCCCGTGATCCCACAGCGGTAGCATCTTTTTCCTTCCACTTTGGCTTTTTCGGTACATTCGTGGGCTCTATGCCCTACTTTCTGGCATCTGAAACAGTTTTGTAATTTGACCCATTCCCTTATCTTGCATCTGTAGGGCCCCATCTGTATTACTCTTCTTTCTTTTATACTTTTTACCAGAGCTGTTGGTATTTGTATCAGTGAATACCAACTGCTCCTAGACTGACGAGGGTTTCCGGCTGTTATTTCCGTGCTTGCTGGTAATCCCAGCGCTATTTTGATGTCGTTCGCTATCTTTCTACCCGTAACCAAGGGATCTACATCCCATATGGCCAACGTGTGTTGATTTGTCTTCATGCTTACATCTAGTTTCATGCCCTCCTCATTTTTAAGGATGCTGGCGATTTTTGTGGCTTCGTCTTTTATATTTCCCTGTACCCTGAGGACAACGTCTCCTCCTGCCCCTTGGGAGACTCCTATTTTACCATCTATTTTTGTGGGTCCTAATTTCGTGCGGACTCCCGTCAGCACCTCGCTGTAGGATCTGTTTTCTCCTGTTTTTATCCTTATTGTTGTGATCTCTTCGTTGCGTCTTCCTCTTGTTATCTATCTTTATTATTGGTGTTGTTTGTCCTTTTTCACCCTTAAGGGTTTTGACTACTCTCTTGATCATTTTTGTTAGGCCCTCTTTATTTCCTTTATTTTTATTTCATATTATTCCGATAATACCTTGGAGTAATAATTGACACTGCAATGACTGGAAGGGAGCATATTAAACATGTAGCTAAAAAAGCAGACAGAACAACCCTCAACTTGTCGAGAATACTGACCAGAGTGGGAGGAGCCTCTGAGGGCAGCCGAAGACTGCTGGCCTCAGTAGCTGAGGCTACAGCGCTATATGCAGCTCCTGTATGGGCAGAAATGGCGCTGAGGGCAAAAGTCAACCGAGATATACTGCTGGCTGCACAAAGAATTGTAGTAATACGAGTGGCCAGAGCGTACAGAACTGTGTCAACCGAAGCACTCCTAGTACTGGCCAAAATGATCCCCTGGGACTTGCTTGCCATAGAAAGAGCTGAACGAAGACAAAGAGATGAATCCACCGACAACATAAGGGCACGTAAGGATACAATGAACAAATTGCAGCAGCAATGGGAAAATCCACGCACTTACGGAGGGGGAGAATCTCCGGGTAGTTGGACCCGACATCTAATACCAGATGTCAGTAAATGGATTCGCGGTAGCCAGGGAGAGCTAACATACTAATCCTGCCAAGTCTTGTCGGGTCATGAACAGTTCCAGACATACATGACAAAGATTGGCAAAACGCAAGTGGACATCTGTGTGCTATGCGAGTCGGGCATGAAGGACGGAGTGGAAGATACTCTTCTTCATGGGCCCGATGCACAACAACTGGAATTAGCAGAAGTACAGGGAGTACGGTCCCCTCGAGACCTAGAGTTTCTGGTCAAGAGGAAAGCCAGAATGGAGGATGGACTGGATCGGCTCAAAGGAAAGGATGATGAAATGACCGTTCCTGCAAGTCATGGTTTCGAAGTAATATCAAACATATCCCGAACCATGGCCCAAGCTGATAAAGGGGTCGAGGGTTTAGTGGGTGAGAGTCCCACAGTACCGGACAAAGCACAGTGAATGATGTCCGGTCTGCATAATGCATTTGCCCTTAACCTCCAAAAAAAAAAAGGTAAAACTGTCCCCCGGAGGTCCGGTCCTTGAAAGAAGCAGGAAATAATCAACGATCGGAAGGGCGCGTCTCCAGGTGGCGGATAGGGGAAGGCCTATCAGATACGATAGGTACCGGGAAAGTATACCCGGCGCGGACCAAAACCAGCCCCCAGGGAAGTACTCATTGTTCTCTCACATATCTACTGCGAAATAGAAACGATGGGCCCTGAGGACTCTAGCGGCGGAGGAAAGCCAACTCAGAGGGCTTCAACGACGCGGAGAGTAGGGGGGCAACGATAGAAAGCGCCAGATTCGGGGGAGCCGGAGGAAATAAGACAAGTCGCTGGACAGGGACAAACGTGAGGGTACTGCTCTAGAACCATGGGGCACTGACGGGCTGGCAGGTAGTACAGGGGCCCGGGCGTTTAGTCAACACCACCTGACTGCCCCATCAACTGACCGAAAATCCCGTTATTGTTGTAGTGCCGGATGACGACCGGAAGGGGCTCTGCAGCAATATTCAGGGGGCGTTGCTGAGGCCACACGTATGAAAACCTGTCCCTCGATAAATGTTGGAAAGCTAACGGTCCGAACAACCGATGCTGTCTTTCGACCCACAAAAGAACAAGATAAACAGAAATCAAAATGGAATATAAGATTAAAATAAATGCCGGTATCACTGTGCCACTGGCGAGAGGGGTCCCCAACCCTGGAAGAAAAGAAGAGACATATGAAGAAAGAAAACAAGGAAGAAGAGAAGAAGAAGGGAGAGACCTAAAGGAAGAATTTTCCCTGCACGAAGGAATGCCTACGGGGTCAAGACAAGTAGATGACAAAGACGTCATAGGAACACAAGAAGGACAATTACTAAAAGGCCACCTAGGGGAGACCCAACAA